CGCTTTTTCATTAAAACTTCATAATTTCTAACTTATCGGTGCGTGTAGTGTCACTTAATTCTTATCTATTATCAGTTGTTAAGAGGTGTTGCTTATGTAAGTTTCCATTTCTAATTTTTTTAATCTTGAGTATTTTCATTTGAATATGAAAAGTAACCCTAATTTCTGATATACGGGGCAACTTGATTCTCTAGAACACTTGGTCATTACTTTTTTTCCGTTCACATGGCGAACCAGCTCATTCATTGACCTTTTTGAATATTTATCGATTAATTTATGCTTATATGTTGTAAGAAGTTTCAAAATTGCATAGATTTTTCTAAATAAATGCGTCTTATTGTGACAAGTTTCAAGTGATGGAGGTATCTTGAGGAAAATTGTGGAAGTAAAGGTGAAGAGAGTTAAAAGGGTGCAGCTAATAAAATTAGAGAACCGAATGTGAACAGACAAGTGCTAGGGATTGCGAAATTTTCAAAAGGACATAAAAAATTTTTGTGAGGATGAAGGAAGCGTGTCCAATCGGATAAATGTTGTTCCTTCAAAATTCTCTCTCAATATTTGTGAAGGAATTTAGCGCTAAAGGAACAATTTCAGATGACGGAGGTTATACTTAGCTGAAGCAGCTCATAATGTTTTGTATTTACTTACTAAAATCAACTTCCATTACATAATTTTCCAAATAAGGAAGCAGAAACCTTCTGCATTCTAAAGCTTCAAACATCAATTCAAAAACCTGTCTACCTCTAAATCGAGGAGATATGAAGCAATAAATATTCTGTGCGGGGTTTCCAATTGAATTTGCCCTCCGTCGCAGTCTCTTGGATCTCACCTCGTCGCATTCAACGCAAAACAAAATCTTCTTTGCTTGGCCACAACAGGTAAAACTCAGCTTATAGATGATTCAGAACTTCATTTAAACTTTTACTTTTTCAGGTTTCATGTGAAACAGATATTATGAGATTGTCGATAACCGATTTTGATATAAAACGATTTGAATTCTGCATTGGAAAACGTACGAAAGCTATTGGAATTCTCGTTGGTGTCGTGGATTTCATTTTTTTAACATCGGCTTTCGTCATATGTATCCAATTAATGTTGCACTTCGGGTTAGTTTGCTCGTTTCATTGCTTTCTATTTCAAAAAAAAATGTTTTTCGCAAAGTGCGTTTGATCTATCTGACGGAAAAGTTCTAATTTCAACTATTATCGGCTTTAAGTTTGATTATTTAAAATACTTCCAAAAAATCAAAAATTAGACGATGTACGACAATAACCTAACAAATTCTAGGTTTTTTCCTTCTGACAAGCACTTAGCTACGCTTTCTGCGTATCTTTTTGTTGTTTGCATGAAAGGCAAAATCAATATTGTAAACTTGTTTTTCGGAAAATTCTGCTCTCTTTTTGTCAAGTATTAGAAAATCGACCAATTTTGCTAAGCTTAATCTCAGGATTTCATTCTGATTGTGTTTGTTAGAGTACAATTTTTTGAGTGCCTTTAAGAAATTCTAAATAATATTTTGAGAGCTCAATGTAGCCTGCATTCAACGCTCTAAGCGAACGCGGCTCATTTCTTTGCAAATCCATTTACCGCTTGAACTTTTTGCTCTCTTTGAATGGTTATGGAATATATAAAGAAAAATTGTAGCTGAACTGAATTTGAGAAAAATTTAGTTAATGTATGAAGAATTTTGACGACGTAGCTTCTTTAACAAATTTTCTAAAAGTAAACATCATAGCTTTCTTTCTATATTTCCCAATTCCTTGAACCCACTGCAAATGTTGTACCAAGTTTGATAGTCCCTTGAATCGGGCCTGTTAAGAGTAAGGAACTGTCTAAGCTCTATTAAACTCTAAGCAAAGGTGCTCCTCATACTATCGCGACAAAAGCGGTAATTGCTTGATTAGTTCAAATTAAGCGTATGAATCTTCATTGATTGGACAAGTATGCCAAGTAGATGTTCGGTTGCCTCCTGACACTAAGTTTCATTCCAATTAATGAGTTCAAAATTAAATACGATTGAAATATCTATCAAAAAGTTTTCAAACAATGCCACGCTATTTGACGAGAGTCGGGTAAAAGAAGATGGTAATCCAAAAATTTGCCAAAACTTTCTGAAAGTAGTTGTTTGACGCACGAATTACAAATATAATGACCTTTTGCATTAAATATCTTTCTTTAAAGATACAGCAGGTCATGGTTGAGGACCACTTATCATATGATATGGATATTTACTGGCATTACTCACTACAATTAATTATGGCAGCGGCAATGCTGAGTATAAAAATTTAAAGATATTAACAAAAAAATTGAGCAGAGGAAAGTAAAGTAAGAAATTCTTTTCACTACACCAACTGCTCGAATTCAGTGCTTGAGGTGACCGTTGTTCTCTTCGGAAAATTAGGGATAAAATTTAAGACTAAGAAAAGCTTTAGTATTAGAAAAAAGATGTTTAGCTTTAAAGTGAGTTACAGTGTCGATAAATGCTTAATGCTGCTTTCTTTTGCAGACATACCCCTTTGGTGACGTCTGCCTGCTATTCTATCGGATTACTCTATGTATTTCACCTCTTTGGTATTTTAACTTTTTGGTATGGAATCAGCCAAGAGCTATCCTCATGGATTGTACCAAAAATCGTGCTCAAATTCACTACAGTATTAATATTCGTTGTTATCACATGTGTACTAACTTACTTCATCACCAACAACCCTGCTTACGTTGGAAAATTTATAGCTAGGGGACTCAATGTTGACTATCTTGATTATGAAGGTAAGATTATCCTGCTAGCATTAATTGAAATTGACAAAATTCTACATTTCAGGTGCGATTGATATTGGTGCTACAGTACTCGTCACCGTATCCGCTGCAATGGCTATGGGTCACATTTGGCTGCTAGTGCTGCTAATTGGTTGCTATAAAGACGTAAGGAAGAAAGAAATAGCACTGCTGGTTGAGAAAGCGATGAAGAAAGAAAAAGCAAAATTTGAGAAGCGACCAAGAGCAGGCAGAGAAGGGGGATTGTACACGACGTTTATATAATGTTGCATCTTGTCCCCTTCCTGAGTAGTTTGGAATCAATAAATAAACAATTCGATCGATATTCCATGCGAGTTTATAGCATTAAATATAAGCAAAGGTTGCTTTTTTAAACTGTAGTGTAAAGTACTCCATTACATTTTAAAATAACTACAATCTTGGAGGAGTTCCATCTACAATAAATTTTGTCTGATTTATGGGTTATTCCATGCTTTTTATTCCCCTTAATGCTGTTCAAAAAATGATGTTATATCTACCTGATAGCGATTACTACTCTCTTAATGAGGATTCATTCATGGGTATGCCTTATTTCGCACTCTTAGCCCCAGGTGGACGGTCTTCCTTCTTCTAAAACTAACAAATATCATGAGCGAAGACCAGCAACCAAATGGGTAAGCTTCGCTAACCTCTTCCTAAGCACCACGGCATCCAGCCTTTTTCAGAGGGGCACCTGGTCCACCCGATTCAGGTGATACATTTGTTACTGCGACAAGAGATTATTCGCAAGAAGTTCGCGCCTTAGCAATTCTTGCCATAGTGAGACACACTCTTCTAAAAATAGGTTAACAACAAAAAAAGCGAAAATTTTAGGTGGTGTTCGGTTTCCTAGCCATAGTTGCAATACTTTACCTTATTCGTTGGATTTGCTTGCTCGTGGATACCTCCGCGGATCAGGACG